CGCCTGCGCCGCGCTGGCGTCATCAGGGCGCACCGCCGTGTTGTGGTAGCAGCCTTGTGGTCGCAACCGTTCTGTCGCCGCCGGCCGGGCGCGACCATGTGTCAGGTGGGCGAGGACTACGGGGGTCCGGCGCTCAGGGAGCCGCCGACCGCTCCGCGGCCTGGGTGAGAACTGGAGGCCAGAGCCTCCCCCGCCGCGCTCCCGCGCCCCCGCCCGACCGCGAGCCCTGTCCTGGAGACTCCCCGTTCCTCGGGGGCGCCGCGCTCCGGGAAGCCCGCGCGGGAGGTCCCCTGTGTCCCCCGGCAGCCTCGGTGGAAGCGGTCCTCGCCCCGCAGCGCCCTGGCAGGGGCCCGCTCTGACCGCAGCAGCCGCGGACGGCGCCGCGCCTCCTCCGAGGAAACTCGGTCTCCCTGCCCCGCGGCCGCGGGCCGCGTGAAGCCCCGTCTCTCCTCTCCGTGCCAGCCCGAGAGGGACGGAGAGGCGGCCTTTGTGTGTCCCCGAGCCGGCTTTTCCAGGCCACACACCCCTCGGTGCCTTTGTCTTTCTTGTCGAGTTGGTAGTTTGGACAAAACGCAAGTCCTGGTTTTTGTGTGTACCCGGTGGCCTCCTCAGACCCAGCTCAGTGTGAGAAACCCGAGCTGTCCCCGAAGCTCACGGGTGGGACGTGTCACCTGTGTTTTGTTCTCTCCTCTCTCCATCCTCAAAGCCGTGAGCACAAATGTGTAAAGTGCAAGGAAGGTGTGCCGGTGGTGGTGATCCGAGCGGGAGACGCCTTCTGCAGGTGAGGCCTAGGCACGTGAAAGACTGGCAACCATGGCTCACTCAGCAGCTGCAGTCACCTCAAATTCTGAGGCTAGTAACGATTTCTGCTTCTAATGTTACTACCGGTGGTCCTGGGGTGAGGCGGAGGTGGGCAGCATTGGGTTCCTGCCTGGGTCATAATCTCCGTGGTCTAGCCACAGGTCAGCTGGCAGGAAGGTCGCTGGTGGAGCTTATGAGGAGAGTGGAAAGTGAGGGTGTAGTGTCTAGTTTGGGATAGGTGTAGGAGAGAGGGGCGTGAGGGGCAACTGGAATACATCTAGGGGCAGTTCAGAGCATCCTGTAAACTGGGGCAGGTGATCAAGGTGACAGTTGTTTATCTCACGAGTGCCTGTTTTATCTCTGGTGGGGGTGGGGAATAAAGGCTTGGAAGGAGAGCTCCAGCCTTCTCCCGGTCTCAGAGGCCCTGTGGACAGCAGCAGAGGCTAAATCTCAGAGGCGCCAGCGTGTGCGGCTGTTCCTCTTTAGCTGTAACTCATTTGTGGCCTTGTCACATCTTCCTTGGCTTGTAGCCACTTTGTTGGGTCATTTGCTCTTAGTTCGTGGCTCCTGAGGGCAGGCCTGGGTCTCTCCAGCATTAGCCTCTTCCTAGTGGCATTGCATCATTGCACATTTTTTTGTGTTTGTTGAGCGAGTGGTGACCTCACACCTTTAAGCTGGTCTCCAGGAATCCTGGGCTCTGCTTTCTAAGATGTTCCAAAAAAGACACTGGAGTTGGGGAGCTGAGTAGGTTCTTTTCTCAAAACATTCTTGTCCCTGACACTCTTGTGGGAGCCTTACAGATTTGGAGGATGAGGGGTGTGCCACCAGGAGTTACATTTTGGGTAAGACAGCATCTGAAAATGCCGACTGCTGGGAGGATTCACTGGGAGAGAAGCTGCCATGGCCCTGGGCTGGCCCGTGTGGCCTGTGGGGCTCTTTCCCAGGCCCAGAGCTTCCCTCTGCCATGCGTGCCTAGTCTGAGGAGGGGTGGGAAGCCAGCGCTCCAGGTGGAGGTCTTGGGATATCGGTTTTGAGTGGGGTACCCAGTGATTAAAATCAGGGTGTGAGGCCAGGCGTGGTGGCTCATGCCTGTCATCCTAGGACTTTGGGAGACAGAGGTGAGGGGATTGCCTGAGCCCAGGGTTCAAGACCAGCCTGGGAAAATTGGCTAGACCTTATCTCTACAATAAATTAAAAAAATAGCAGGTGTAGTGGTACATGTCTGTGGTTCCAGCTACTTGGAAGGCTGAGGTGGGAGGATCACCTGAGCCCAGCAGGTCGAAGCTGCAGTGACTGTGAGTGTGCTGTTGCACTCCAGCCTGGGTGGCAGTGAGACTCCAACTTAAAAAAAAAAAAAAAAGGGTCAGGCATGTGTGGAAAACTTTGGTCTTGCCTGAACCAGAGGAGACAGCATGTCCACATGGACTAGTGTTGTGGGGAGGCAAGTCCTCCTCCCACAGTGAGCAGGGGATGTCCAGCACACTGAGACTTGCCATGCCTGGAGCTGCTCCCAGGGGAGCCTCTCCCCATGTCCCATCATTGGCACTTGCCGATCACCTGCAGTCCCTGACCTGGCATCTTGCTGTTAGCATAGAGTCACTTTCCTGTCCATCAGTGGTCACGGGGGTGGGTCGGCCTCTTGCATGTAGCACCTGTTTGGCATTGGGAGGAGCTGTGGGCACTGGGTGAGTGTGGCAGGAAGATAGAGGCCTGGGGCAGCCCCAGGCACAGGGTGGCCTCTTGCAGAGCACTGCCTCTCGGCACTGGGTACTGCTGTCCACCCTGACTGCCCACCAGGGCTGCAGGGAGTTTTACAGATGCAGGTTCATGGGCCTCACCTCCAGAAATTCTCACTGACTTGGTCTATGAGATTTGAATGTGCTGCCGGGGTAAGAACCTCTGACCTAGTGAACCAGGGTCAGCTGAAGACATAGCCCCTGCACCCGTGCTCACGTGGCGGGGCGTGGAAAGAACCCTGGGTAAGCTGCAGCTGGGGAGCCCTCAGCCTGGCACCCTTCACTAATGTCTGGACAGAGCCTCGATGTGAAGGTGCTGCTTCTAAAAATGGAAATTGCTAGAAGGCACATGTGGCCCCACTGGGCCCCAGGATGCTGCCCTCTGTGCAGGCATCAAGCAGCCCTTCGCCCCGCATCTATGTTACAGGGATTGTTTCAAGACCTTTTACGTCCATAAGTTCAGAGCCATGCTGGGCAAGAACCGGCTCATCTTTCCGGGCGAGAAGGTAATGTCTGGGTCCTGGGGTCTGACCGAGCAGCCGAATCCCCTGGCCTGAGGCTCCCGCTGCCCCTCCCATAGGTGACCTGGCCAGCCAGCCCCTTCCTGGACTTTGTTCAGGGCCATCACGAGGTGGGGCGTCCGTGCTCGGGTTGGAGGCATGGTACCTTGGTGACGTTCCTTCTCCCCAGGTGCTCTTGGCGTGGTCCGGGGGACCTTCCTCCAGCTCCATGGTCTGGCAGGTCCTTGAGGTGTGTTCCCGGGGCTGCAGGGACTCCTTCTTGGCCTGCTGGGGGGGCTCTTGGTTGGGGCTAAAACCCTGGACACCTGCAGGGTTCTCAGATGTGTATACAGCAGGTGCACAAACCAGAAACCTTGTCCTAAGCACCCATCGGGGCCGCAGTTTAGCTGTGTCCATGTGCTCAGCCTGCACAGAGACGTGGTCGCTGGAAAGTGCGTCTTGGCTCAGCTGGGTGTGACCCCAAGGTGGGGGGCGGGACTCGCCAGGTGAAGCAAAGGGGGCAGCAGGCTAGGTGGAGGCTCTACACATGGCAACTTGTGCTACACATTGGGAGGGGCTGGGACTGCACCCTGGTGTGTTCAGGGACAGCTCAGGGTCTGAGGCAGGGAGTTTGTCCTGAGGGCATGGTGGAGGGGCATACGCACGGTGTCCACACAGGGGAGGACCCTCTGCCTGGGCGAGGGACAGTGCTGGTTATGGCCCGGGCACCTGTGTGGCCCTGCCGTGGTTAGCACCATGCTCCCGTCTGGGGGGGCTATGGACTGTCCGGGTGATGTGCGAGGCACCTGGCTCTGCCTCTGCTGTGTCCACTGATGCCCTGCCTGAGTGCAGTGTTTCCCATAAGTGTCAGCGGCCAGGGAGCCCGGGTTGGTGGCACAATTCCACCTTCCCCTCCTCATGTTGCTGGAACACCCAGGGCTGGCTGGTGAGGGGTGGGCTGTGAGGTTTCTGCGGTTGGGGGCGTGTTTTCTCAGGAGAGCAAAGACCCAATAGCACCCCCATTCAAATGAGTCGGGCTGTGCAGCCTTGCCCATGGGGCCTGCCTGACACTCAGGTCTGGACAGCTTTGTCTCCTAAAAGGGGGTTCACCTCACTTTCCCAGAGGATGTTTAATCCAGATAAAAAATGGAAAAGTGTCCCAGGGCTTGTGGCTGGGGTCTGAGTCCCTGACCTCTCCTTCCAGGGCCTGAGTCAAGACTCTGCTAGAAGACTGCGTTTCATGCCGGGGATCCTCTATGTGGATGGTATGTGTGACCATTGCCCCTCCGAGACCCTGGCCATTTGGGATGGGTCCCATGGATCCTCCCCCAATAGGACTTGTTGAAACTCACTGTGCCCACACCAAGGCCCTGGTGGGGACATTTCCCTGAAGGAGACAGTGGACATACCCATCAACAGGCAGCACCCCATTCCTGGAGTCTCACACCATCATCAGCAAGTTAGGGGAATGGGGCAAGAGCAGCACCCACCTCCATCGTGGTCCAGGGACTGAGAAGGGCGAGGTTGGTATGTGGTATGGGACAGGGTGTGTAGGGCCAGGCCACAGCCTTCCTGACCCTCGCTCCTCTGGAGGGGCCCATGGGCACCTAGTGCTGCTGTCAGCCATGAGGGAGTCCCCTGCAGTTCGCAGAAGCAGCACCGCATAGTCTGGAAGGGTACCTCCCTGTGGGTGGCCTCACCCTCCTGGTTCTCCCGTAAGCTCTGACTTTTGCTTCTGTCTGGGTTTTTCAGAGGGAGTAGCTTGTGGCCAGAGCCCAGAGGACAGAGCCGAGACCCTGACCGACATGAGGCGGGTCCTGCAGAGCACTGGCTTCCCGTGGCACCTGGTCCCCCTAGAGGAGGTAGGCAGGCCTGTCCCTGGGAGAGGGTCCTGGAGGGGACTACTGGGGCTGTCCATGAGGGGTCCACCCTCACTCCTGGGACAGCCCGTGGGCCTGGCCTCACTACCTTCTCTGCATCTGGAAGGTGTTCAGCCTGCCACCTTCCGTGCTGCGTTGCTCTGCACAGGGCCTGGTGGGGCCTGAGGGGGCCTACAAGACTGCTGTTGACAGTTTCCTCCAGCAGCAGCATGCACTGGCTGCCGAGGGGGCCCAGGATAGCCCCAGGCTGGCTCTTGGAGAGGAGCAGCTGTGCCAGCTCCCCTGGGACCCCCTGGACTCCCAGAGCCCGGTAGGGCCACCTGCAGCCGCCCAGACTGAGGCTCTGACCAGACTGTTTGGCTCAGTGAAGACACTGACGGCCAAGGAGGAGCTTCTGCAGACACTGCGGTGAGGCCCCACCCGTCCCCCTGGCCTAAGAATACCCCCCAGATCCCCAGACCTGAGATGCTCTGCACTGCAGGACACACCTCATCCTGCACGTGGCCCGCACTCACGGCTACTCCAAGGTGATGACTGGGGATAGCTGCACCCGCCTGGCTATCAAGCTCATGACCAACCTGGCGCTGGGGAGAGGAGCCTTCTTGGCCTGGGACACGGTATGTGGTGCCTGGGCCCCGGGGGGGGCCTTCTTGCACCCCTTGCCCCCTTCTCTGCAGAGAACATGTCTCCCACATGGACGGGGGCTATGACCTTGGCCTCACAGCCCTGCCCCCCAGGGCTTCTCCGACGAGCGACATGGGGATGTGGTGGTGGTACGGCCCATGAGGGACCACACCCTGAAGGAGGTTGCCTTCTACAACCACCTGTTTGCGGTCCCCTCCGTCTTCACGCCAGCCATTGACACCAAGGTGGGTCCACAGAGATGGGCTGCATGGGCTGGGCAGAACCCCACCTCCAGCAAAGCTCCGAGGTTGCCAGCAACCTTCACGCCAGGGATCTCTGAGCCCACCCTGTGCCTAGGAGGGGCAGGCTGGTGTTTGTGAGGTGGCTTGGGGCAGGAGGTGGCCAGCCCAGTACCTGTCCCCGAGGGGTGACAGGGTGGCAGGACAACCCTGCAGGCTCTCTCCAGGCATGTGTCCTCTGGCCTGGACACATGTTGGGCAGACTCCGGGCTGGCAGTGTGAAGCCTGTGGCCCCGGCTCGATGAGGCCACTTGCCTCAGCCAGGCCCTCCCCCTGCCCAGGCCCCCCCCCGCAGCCTCTCTGGTTGTCCCCAGGCCCCCGAGAAGGCCAGCATCCATCGGCTGATGGAGGCTTTCATCCTCCGGCTACAGGCCCAGTTCCCCTCCACAGTTAGCACAGTGTACAGGTACGTGCAGAGCCAACTTGGGTGCTGAGCGCACTGCCCGTGGGCCTGAGACAGAGGGATACCCTGGCACATTTGTGACCTGTTCCCACCTGGCCACAGGACAAGTGAGAAGCTGGTGAAGGCCCCCAGGGACGGCCCTGCTGCCAGTTCCCCTACCCCCCGCTGCCTCCTCTGCATGTGCACATTGGACATCGATACTGCTGGTCTGTGCTGCGACTTCTCTGGGACAGTGGGGTGTGAGTGTTGCCAGGGTGTGGGTGTTGGGGTTTGGCGGCCCAAGGGTACCCTCAGCCCTTCTTTGCTTGCAGACAGTGCCACGGCGTTTGGGGCTCAGACCTCACATCTCTCCCAGATGCAACCGCCCACTCCGCTGGCTGAAGCGGGAACATCGCCCGAGCCCTGCTGCGCTCCAGGGGTGGCCAGGGCCCAGGACTGCTGCAGGGGGGCCTGCGAGAGGTAAGTTCTGGTTGACACCCTTTCCCTCACTGCACCTGGACAGGGGCTGAGACTGCTCACAGCCAGCGTTACTTCTGCAGGGAAGACCCTGGGGCCCACGTTGTGGAGCAGCTGTGCTATGGCTGCCGTGTGAACATGAAGGACCTGGTGAGTGGATTCCCATGCGTGCTTGGCTGGGCTCAGGGATGTGGCAGAGAGGTGGCTGAGGCCAGAGAGGCAGAAAACGCCCCCAGGGGATGCTGGGGGGCCTCTGACAACTGTGCAGCTGGCTCCACAGCCACACCACCCTTGCATGCCGGCTCTTGTTGCAGCCATCCCTAGATACCTTGCCACCCTATGTCCTGGCCGAGGCGCAGCTCCGCAGACAGAGGTATTGGTGCCACCCTGCTGGGAGGGGAGCCCCTTCTGGGTAGGAGCCCCGGGCCGGTTCCCACTGCAGCTTCCTCCAGGGCCCAGGTCCTGCAGGAGATCCAGGAGTATCTGATCGAGGACAGTGATGAAGAGGCAGCGCCAGCTCACAGCTGAGCCTCAGGGTCGCACATGTGGGGACAACTTGGGCCCGACAGCAGGTGCCAGCCACCTGGGGCAGAGGTGTCCACACTAGAGCCAGATGGCAAGGATGCAGGCTGGCCTGTGATTGTCCGTTTGTATAAATAAAAACATTTTTAATTAGAAAACCCTACAGTACGCATGGGGTGGGGGTGCAGGGGCGAGGGAGGGATGGCAGTGCCACGCGCCTTCTCTGACAGCAGCATCAGGGCTCAGTGGGCCGGGAGGACGTGTCACAGCTGGTGGCCTCTGCCTGGGGCAGCTGCTCCCCCGGCCCGAGGAGCGCCAACCCCCCCCTTGTGGCTGCACTGCACAGCGGCTGGCTCCTCCCTTCTGGGCCAGTCTGGTCCCTACTCCTTCTCACGGGTCCACTTGATCATGGTCTCCGGCGAGCGGTACAGGAAGATGAGCTTGGCATACAGCTCCTCCTCTAGCTCCAGCTCACGGGTCTCGCGCACCAGGAAGATGTCCTGGCACAGCTTGAGGATGCGGTCCACACACGGCAGCTCCTCGAACATGATGGAGTGTGAGATCTCGCTGAAGAAGCCGCGCACGAATTTGCCAATGACCAGCACGATGGACACATATAGCCCCATGATCCTGCCGGATGGGGTGGGTGAGTCCGGGGCCACCCAGAGTCCCTCCCCAGCCGCAGGACATCTCCAGGCTGCACACTCACCCGTAACCAGCCAGGAAGCCGAGGCTGGGTGGGCTGACCTTGTCACTGAAGATGACCATAGGCAGCAGGTTGCAGTGGGCCCGGCAGTCCTGCAGCTCGACCACCCACCACTCCAGGAAGCCGGCGGCCCCCGCGCCCTGCTCTCGCCGTAACTGGATGCGCACGCCAAGGTAGTCAGCCTCCTCATCTGGGGCAGAGACAGGACACCGTAGAAGCTGTGGACAGGCCCTCCATGTAGGGCCCAGGCCATGCCCCCGCCCACCCCCCGCCCACACTCACTGGGCTGCAGCTGCTTTACGGGGTTGGCTTCGGGCCCGTTGGGTGCGCGGATGTACTTGGGGAAGAGGTTAGGGATGACCCTGTGGGGAGGCACTGGTGGGTCAGGCCTGGCCTGGCCCCTGAGCCCAACCCCCTCACAGACCCCACTCACACAGACTGGTCTGAGGTGCCCTCCAGCAGGCTGGCCAGCTGCCGCCGTGCGGTGCTATTGGGAGCCAGGTCCAGCGTGTGCTTCTCATTGGTGTACTCCACAGTGCCCCCCTTGGCCAGGTCCCTGTGGGGAGTGCAGCATGACCCACTGTGGGCAAGATCCCCCAGGCCCCACCCCAGGCACAGGACTCACCTCTGGAAGTTCCAGGTGAAGCGCAGGGTGATGTCAGCCGTGCCATTATACAGCTCCCGCTTCATTTGGGCACGGCTTGGAGGGCTGATGCGCCACAGCGCCCCGGAGCTACCCTCGATGTGCGCTGTGACGATGTCATCAGGGCTGTACTGGCTGATGAACTGCATGGCCAACTAGGTGCAGGGGGTACCCCTCAGTGCCTGTGTCCCCAGTCAGCCCCTCCCACCAGGCCATGGCAGGGTGGAGGCCACTTACTGGGTGAGGGTCAAACCGCCTGGACAGCTCCTCGTAGGCCTGGGCCGTGAAGGGGACGATGGATGGCTGCTGGGCACTCATGGTGAACAGTGGCTGAGGTGGACAGGGGGACACGGACCAGGGAGCATCACGGGATCCGCACAGAGCTCCGCTCAGATCCACAAGGGGGAGCCTGGAGCCCTGGGATGCTGGGGACTGACAGCCATGGGAGGTTCCCTTTTCCCTGGGGGGACAGACAAGTGGGCCCGTGGCCCACCCGTGTGGGGCTCCCCTTTCTCTAGGGGGGGATGGACAATTGGGCCTGTGGACCAGCCGTGGAGCTCCCTCTTTCCTCGAGGGAATGAACAGGTTGGCCTGTGGACCAGCTATGTGGGGCTCCCCTTTCCCTGGGGGGACAGACAGGAGGACCCGTGGACTAGCCGTGGGACTCACCTCATAGCCACCTAGCTTGAGGGTAACGGTGACATCGATGGGCTGGTTGACGACGCCAACCACGGAGCGCACCAGTGACATAAAGAGCAGTGGGAACCAGATGATGGCAATGAGGAAGAGGATGATGAGGCCACCCATGCCATACTTGACAATCTTCTTCTTCTTCTGCCCCTTGGGCTGCGGGTATTTCTGCAGGGGAGAGGGAATGTCACAGGTCACCTGCTTAGCTCTGCCCTTCCTCCCCAACTCAATGGCCTAGGCCCTCACGTGGCCATGTTCTGGCTCACTCAGCAGCCCACAGTCAGGCCCCAACTTGATACCAGCACCGACTACACAGCCACAGGAGCCCCAGGGACAGATGCATAGACCAGTAGAACACAGCTGAGGCCCCGAAATAGACCCTCATGGTAAGGTCCAGTGGATTCCAGACAAAGGAGCCAGACCATTCCATGGGAACGGTCTTTCAACATGTACTGAGACAAACCCAAGCAAAAGAATGAGATGGAATTCCTACCTCATACCGTATACCTAAGAGATTAACTCAAAGTTGATGAAAGAGCTAAAACTATAGATAAAACACCAGAAGCATGAGCAAAGATGACTAAACAAGCTGGATGTTACTCAGAGTGATTCTTGAAAAGATACCACTGAGGAGAACAAGAACCATTCCCTCCGGGGGAGACCCTTTTTGCATGTCAGATAAGGGAGTTGTAGCCAGAGTACATGGAGAACTCTCTTGACTCAGTAATGAGAAGAGGCCAGCAAGCAGGGAGAGGATAGACGTTTCTCCAGAGATGAGCAGGTGGCCAGCAAGCTCACAATACGGTGTTCTGCATCGCCCGTCCGCTGGGAGATGCAAATAGAACCCGCGTGCTGCCCACATGCCCGCGGGTACGGCCAAAACTGAAAGCAGACTCGGGCAGGTTGTCGGGACTGTGGGGGAACTGGGACCTAGCGCTGCGGCTGGAATGCAGGGCAGCATGGCTACTGTGGGAACAGCCATTCCCTATAGCATTAAACGGAGCATCCACATGAGCCCGCAGGCCTGCTCCCAGGTCCGTGCCCAACTGAACTGAGACCACCTCCACACAAAGATGTGGACGTGGACATTCTAGCAGTGGTATTTGCAACAGTGGGAAGAGGAAATGGCCCACAAGTCCATTGGCAGATGAGCAGATAAAGCCGTGGTCCATCCATACTGTGGAATGTCACTCACTCATGGGCCATCGTGGACGAGCCTGGGAAACACCGTACTGAGGGCAAACTAGTCACAGCAGGCCACGCAGTGAGTCTGTGTATGTGAAGGGTCCATAGAGATAGGACATGGACCAGCAATGGCTGGGGCTGGGAGGGGGCAGGGGGGTGACGGCCATTGGGCCCTGTGTTCCTTGGGTGGTGAAAGTGCCCCGAAGCTGGCCACACAGTGATCACACCACTGCGAGCGCACCAGATGCCATGGGCCATGCATATTAAACGGGATTGAGTGCTGCAAATCTGTCCAATAAAGCTGGTAAAAGATGAGCACTCCACTGGCACAGCATCCATCCCCGTCTTCCTTGGCTGGCCCAGGCTGTGGCTCCGTGGCTGGCCTGCAACCCCCAGGGCCATTCTGCCAGCCCCCAACACCCACTGCAGCTGCCCAGAGTTTTCTGAAAGACCCTCTGTTGGCCTTGTATCAACACAGGCTGTGAGCCCAGGGAACGACCTGCACCATCTGGTTGGCGCATCACCAGCCCTCTGGGAGCCTCATGGCAGTTACATCCCCATCCTCTTCTGGAGTCCCCGCCCTGGCCCAGGCACCTTTTCCGTCTCACGGCTGCACTTGATGATGAAGATGTTAGCATAGATGTCTTCCACACACATCCAGTTGGACAGGGACAGCGTGGTATCCGTCCACACCCAGTCCATCACCGCCCGCAGCTCCACCAGGAACGGCACCAGCCGGAACCTGCCATGCCAGGACTCCCGTCAAGTGCTGGCAGCAGCCTCCCTGCCAGCCCCCCGCCAGCCCCACACTCACGCCTGGAAGAGGAAGAGGTTGAGGTGGTTGTACTTCTTGGTGAGGAAGTTGCCGAGGATGCGGGTTGGGTAGCCGCAGCGGATCTGGTAAGCTGACAGGGCGAAGTAGATGCACTTCACAAAGTACCACAGCTGGGCCACCGCGTTCTGGCTGAACATCCTGGGGGAACAGCTGCATCAAGGGGCTGCCGGGAATGGAGTCCCCAGGAGGACCAGGCTATGGTCCAAAAGGGAGACCGAGCTCGCCCCCACAGTGCACCCACCTCTCAGTGACGGCAGGCAGGATGAAGAACATCCAGAGGTGGATGGCCAGCACCAGCGCCACCTGGAAGGCCAGCTTGCCCAGCACGGTCTTGCGCAGGTACAGGGCGCGGTCCACCACCATGGTGCCAAACTGGATCAGCAGCATCACCAGGAAGGCCTCGGGCACCTGGTCGTCTGACAGCGAGGACGTGATATCTGTGGCCGCTGAGTGCTTCTGTGGCAGGGAGGGCACAGGTCAGGGGGCGCCGAGCCATGGTGGTCAGGGCTGTGCATCCACAGAGGATCCTGGGCCAGCTCACCCCAAATGCCCAGAAGCCGAAGACAATGATGATGAAGTCAACCACGTCTGCCAGGAACATGAGTGCGTAGACGTCAGTGGCCGCACGGTACTTTGTGTGCAGGATGTCATGGAAGAAGCGCCGCAGCGGCCGGTACATGCTCTGGGCCCTGCGGGTGGGTGGACTCAGCGGGCGCCCGGCTCAGAGCTGACCTCCCTGCCCTGCCCCCTGCCCCAGGCCAGGGCCACTCACAGGGACAGGCAGAAGTTCTGCAGCCAGAGCCCAGCTGCCCGCACTCTCTCTCGGGAGCGACTTGGCCTCTTCTCCTTCCCCATGGCAGCCTCTTTCTCCTCGTCCTCCTCGTCCTCCTCCCTGTCCTCAGCTTCTGTGGGGAGAAGCCACTGCCAGCTGAGCCCCCATGCACACTGGGCCTGGTATATGGCTTCTGGCCACCAGAGAGGCTGGCATCCCCATCTTACAGGCAGACCAAGCACGGGACCTCCCAGTGTCGCCAGCAGTGGGGCAGCTGGGTGTGTCCTCTGGCCCAGGTCAACATCCCTCACCAGGAGACAGCTCCACACAAAAGCCAGGGAGGCAGGTGCTGCTGTAGCCACTGCCGGTAGCCAGGGGCTTCCTCTGAGAGCCAAGATCCCCTAGCTCCAAGTGCCATCCTGGAGTCCGAGCAGTCCCCATGCCAGGGCTGTCTCATCTGAGCGCAGCGTTCTCCCTGCCTTGTCCACCTCCCCAGAAACATGGTTGGGGACCACAGCTCCTTGGGGAGGATGGGCAGGTGAGGGCCAGGGCTCAGGGCTACTGTACCGATGGCTGCTGGTCCTCGGGGTTCCAGACTCTCCTTCCTCCTCCTTCTGAAACGTAGGCCAACACGCCCCGTGTCGTGGGGCTTGAGTGCCACTCGTGGCCCATCCGTGGGTCCGACCCTGGCATCCTCCTGAACCTGGTACTTGGTGGTGGCTCCAGGCACCCCTGGCTCCTCCTGGGGCCCTGCGCCTGCCTTGGTCTGGGGCCCCTCCTCGGCTCCTGGCTCCTTCCCACTGCTGCTGTACTCCTCGGACAGTGGGTCCTCCTCATGGTCCCAGAGACCGTAGCACTACGGGGAGGAGCAGCGTTGAGGAGGTTGGTCTGGGCCACGCTGGGCAGCACTCGGCCCAGGCAGGACGGCCGGCCCGCCCGAGGGCCTGCCCTGCCCGCCCGGAGCTCACCAGTAGCTGGGAGCGGTGGAAGAAGAGCGCCATGAGCTGCAGCAGGTCATGCTTGATGTAGCCATCGGTCTTCTCCAGACCCAGAATGCGCGGTGGGAAGTAGGGTTTGTTCTCATTACGCCGCAGCACCACATGGCTGTTCCACGGGAAGAAGCCGAACTGGAACAGGTACTTGGTGACCACTGTGACTTCAGTGAACACGATGGCTGTCATCCAGAAGCGCTTGCTGGGCCGTGGGATGGACAGCATGGCCCACAGGAAGACCAATACCGGCAGCACCAGGGAGCCGGCTGAGGCAGTGACCATGTGGTTGAGGATGATGACAAAGTAGCAGAGCAGCTCCGAGTGAGCGGCCACGCACTGGTACATGGCCTGCAGCAGCCGCAGCGCCCGGCCCTGCCCCTCCGCAAACTGCTCAGCCTCCTCCAGCTCCGGGATATGCAGGCGCCTGCAGGAAGTCATGGACTCATGACTGGAGGCCACCGGGGACCAAGGATCTGCAGCTGTGGGGTTGGACAGACTCGACATACCAGGGGCCACCTGGGGCCCAAGGGTCTGCAGCCGCAATAACAGGCTTCCGCCAGGCTGGCTGGGCTGCACCCTCTAGAGGGCAGCTGTGAGGACAGTTCAGCCTGCCCGGCACCCCCACACCCCTGTGCCACACCTGTCCAAGAGCAGTTCACTGGCTGTGCGCATCCGCGGTCGAGTGCTGGTCAGAAGCTCCCGGGAGCCATGCAGGGAAGTCCCGGCCTCAGGCCCCTCAGGGTCAGTAACAACCTCCTCGCTGCCGCTGCGTGTGTGGTAGCCGGTGCTCAGGGGGCTGTTGGTGTCCTCGGCCACGCTGCTGGGCACCTCCTCGGCCCCCAGCCCGCTGGAGAGGGAAGCCGGGTCCCAGGGGGGCCTGGTTTGAGGCTGAGACTCAGGAGGGGTGCGGGGGGAAGAGTGTTCCAAGGCCCTTTAGTGGACAAGGGACAGCGAGGGTCCAGATGGCCTGGATGTGCCTGCCCTTCAGGGGCAGCGCCTCAGGCTGAGGACCAAGCCTTGCTTTGGAGCCGCAGGGAGGGGAGGGTCCTGGCTCAGTGCTCAGCTCTGGCACCTACCTGGACGCTGTGCTGGTGGCGTCTCGGGCCTGTGAGGTGCCTGTCAACCGGACCTCGGCCTCACCGTCGTACAGCCGCACCAACACACCGCGCACCAACACACTGCGGTGGACCTCCCCACCCTGCAGGGATGGCAGCAGGCTCAGGGCTGCCCCCTCACCCCAGCCTTGCACGCAAGCCACGCAGGGGTAGGGGTAGGGGTAGGGGCAGGGGCGTGAGGCGTGGCCACAAGCGGGTGGGGCAGGAGTGCAGTGTGGGCGGGTCTTAGGCATGCTGTGGGGAGGCAGGAGTGTGACGGGGGCGGGGCAGGAGCATGATGGGGCTGGGATGGGCTCACCCGTAGGAGCTCCTGTGTAAGGAGGTACCGCTCTGCGCGCAGCACTTCGCTCATGGTGCGGTGGTGCCTGGTGAACGCCCGCAGCCAGCGCGTCAGCCCGTCCACAAGCGCCTGCCCCAGCACCCACAGGAACTGCACTGTGCTCAGCACCCGCTGCATCACGTGGCTGCGGCCTGCAGGGAGGCGGGAGAGGTGCTGGAGGGACGGCCTGCGGTCAGGAGAGCCCCCAGCCCTAGCAGCTGAGGCCCACGTACCTGTCACCCGGTCCTCGGGACCCTCCACCGGCTCCATCTCTGGGATCGGGCCACCCCCTGGGCAAAGGGTGCAGTCAATGTCTCAGCGTCTCATGGCGCCACAGCCCACACTCCCCCACCCCACTCAGCTCACCCGTGGACAGCTGTCCTGTCTGCTCCAGCTGTGCCCGTTCCTGCTGCTGCCGCCGCAGCACTGTCTGGGCGTTGGTCACCCACGCCTGGTATGCCATCTGCAGGCCAGGCCCTCTGGGTTAGGACTCTGGCCTCCCCAGCCATCAGCCCCAATCCTGCCCTCCCCTGCGCTCCCAGGGAAGAGGAGGGTCTGGGATCAGGCAGGCTTGCCACCAGATCCCTGTTGTTGGCTCCCCCTGGGGGTCTCCACATTAGGAAAATGGGGCCCCTCCCCGTGGAGGAGGACACCCTGTGCAGACAGCCCACCCAGGATGTTACTGCCATCGTTCAGTGCCTGCACCGACACAGCCAGGGGCCCAAAGACAGACAAGAAGTCCCTCCGGGTCCAGAATGCCCAGCACACGAGGAGCCCTTATGGTCAGCCCTGGCAGCCACTGCAGCCAGAGGAGGTCAGAGCTGGGACCCAGACTGGCGGTGGCAGGCAGGCAGCTGGCTGCCCTTGGCCTGGTTTCCCACAGGAAGTCTGGGGGGGCTGAGCTCCCAGCCCCTGGGGGCATCTGTCTCCCCATCCCCTGTGCTGCCCTGGCCCCAGGCCAGGAGCCCTCCAGACAGAGGAGGACAAGTGGGGCCCCTCCCCCTCACCTGGAAGGCACTCTGTGCTGACGCCCTGGGGTCCTCTGGCAGGGCCTCCTCCTCTTCCTCACTGTCTGACTCGAAGAGGAAGTAGTCCCCGGAGTGGATGACTGTGGGCAGGTGAAGCTGAGAGCTGGCCCCACCCAGGAACCCCACCCCCAGCAAAATCCTGGGGGTCCTCGGGCCCATTTCTTCAGTTTGGGATGGGCCAGCAGGGCTCTCTCGACATCCCGCACCCAGATGGACAAGGCCTGAGGGCTACCCTTCCCAGGGGAGTGGCCCGAGGAGAGGGGTGGGCACATGCACGGGACACATGCATGGGACACAGACGGGACTAGACCAGACTGAGCGTGAGCAGGGCAGGAGCAGGGTCAGCAAGGGCTGAGGGGACAGGCTGCCAGCTAGCGGGGGATTCTGTGGGCATCAGCATCAGGGGACGCAGCTGGCCGTGGGGGCCTTAGTCAGATCCAAGCATGCTGCTGTGTCTCGGAGAGAGAGCTGAGACTCCCACCTTGCAGGACTCACAGGAGGACTGGGGGAGGAGACTGCTCAGGCCAGGGGTCTGCGGCCAGTGAGGCACCCCCACCCAGGAGAGCTCTGTATCGGGGCCTGGGGGCCGGTGAGGTGGGGGAAGCCATGACAGCAACCAAGGAAGCAGGAGAGCAGTCAAAGATGGGCCAGGAGGGGTACCTGTGGCATGGTCCAGCCAGGGCCGCCACCACTGTCTCCGTGGCGGGGAAGAGCCCCCTGGACTGCCGGGCCCTGTGGAGGGGCAGGGCGGGGGTGAGGCAGCAGGGAGAGGTGGGGGGGGGGTCAGGGAGGCCAGAGCCACCGCCTTGGGGACAAGATGGACTGAGACAGACACGAGGCCCTGCTGTGACAAAGGCCGCGTGTGGTGGTCAGGCTCAGAGCCCGGGGGGAGGAGAGAGCCCACAGCGCAGACGGACAGGCACAGGGAAGCCTCAAGGCCTGTTGGACAGGTGACCACATGGCACAGGACAGGTGGGCCGGGGGCCCCGGGGGACATCACATGGCAGAGACACAGGCAGGCGCCAGCAGGCACGGACATGCTGGACACCGGGCCCCAGGCGCCAGTTCATCTGCCTCACCTGGCTCTTCACCAAGGTCCTCGGGGCCCAGGGTGTCCTGGGGATGGCCTGCCCGACTCTGCTGGTGCTTCTTCTGCTTGGCGCGGATGCGTTCCATCCTGTGGGGCAGGAGGGGACACTGAGTGCCAGCCGGTCGGGGAGCTGGGGGTCCCTGCCCCAAAGGGTACCTACTGTCTCTTCAGCTGGGCCAGGGACTTTTCTTCAGCTTTGCGGTGGAAGTCAATGCTCTTGAGGTTGGCAGCATTGTAGAGGGCGAAGCCCCTGTGGGAGGAGTGGAGGGTGTGTAAGGACCTGGCCTGGCTCTCCCCTGCTCCTGGGAGGCTTCCCGGGCCCTGTGCACCCGAGGCCACTCTCCTGAGCACCCACACTGAACCAGGAGCCCTGGGGCTGGCATCTGCCCTCCTGCCCTCCATATTGCCTATGGACAGGGGACAGACCCTATCTCACAGGGCAGGAACCTACATGAGGAAGAGGTGGCTGTGACGCTTGCCCACCCCAGGCTGCAGGGAGGATGGCAGGCTTGCTCTAGGCCAGAACCCTGCTGGGGGAGGGCAGCCCCCAGGGTGTGAGACGCTCAGCCCAGCGTGGGCAACACACCAGCTGAGATGCCAACAGAGTGGCCAGGACCTCACTTCCACTGAGCCCAAGCCTCGCTGCTGAGCTTGAGCGGGTGCTGCCCCCCTCCAGGCCCCAACTCTCCCTCCTGGCCACTCGCCAGCGTCACAGAGCGGGCCCTGGGCTGCAGGCCTTCCTGCCTGAGCCATCAGGGCAAGGCACTGACCTGGAGGCCAGCAGGGCCGTGGCCTGGAGATCGGCCTGGACGTGCAGGAAATAGTGGCTGAGGAAGACGCGGCGCTGCAGCAGCAGGAAGAAGAAGCAGATGCTGTCCCAGAGGACGCCGGCCTCCTCCACGGGCAGCAGGCAGTCCTGGTCGCGGCCCACCATCGCCTTGGCTGTGGGCGAGGCTCAGGCTCAGCCCCGGAGCTGCAGCCCCCGTGCCCCCACCCGCCGCCTGGCCACTCACGGTCGTAGTAGCCCTTGACGGTGCACACGAGACTGAAGAGCTGGATGACCCAGCAGAAGCTGCTCTGCATCTGCTCCACGAACACGCAGGACAGCAGCTGGGG